AGCTAAGAATTCTATCAAATATTCAGTTGCCAGCGCGAAGGTCTGATGCGCCGCGTCAGCCCCGCGTCATGCCTCCGCGCAGCGGGTTATGGGGTTCAGTGTGGCGTCTTTGCCGGGGCAATACATCACAGACGTGAACGGTTTGCAATTTATTGAGTATTTATTTGAAATATGGTCCAACACCTGAATACTATGTTCAATAATTACAATAAACAATATTGACACGTTACCAGAAGGAATGTTCCTAGTCACCACCACCGCTGGCCTGATAATTTGATATCTTATTCGGTATAATGCAGTGGCCTACGTGAGCATACATGCGAATATGCCGCACCTCCCGTCTCGACGTAGCACGCCGGCTTCAGTCCCCTGCCACAGTAGCCTATGCATTAAAATGCAGCGCCGCGCACAACCCACACGACTACCTACCGACGCGCCCAAGAATCAGAAGAAGGAGTTTAGGTCTGGGGTTCGTTTATATTCCCTTCTGGGCCGGCTGACGGAACTGCGTCATCTCGCTGTTTCTGCCGACGCGTTTCCGCTGCTAGCCTGTCTACGGGGTTCCCAAGTTTGCCGCAAGTTGTCTACGGGGTTCACAAGTGGCCACCCATGGACACGGCACCCCTTCCCTTCCGCTCCATAGGTTTGCCATTGTTCAGCCCGGCGTCTCTTCCCGCCAGCGCTGCCCGCTGTCGCAAACAACTTCCCCGTGCATTTCATGTGCATGAAATGCACGTGGCTAATATTTTGTCACGTTTGTGCAAGGCGACTGATATGACGCCACATCAGTAAGCGGTAGAGAAACCCCGGGCGGCGTGAAATGAGGGCGAGGGGAGGCGGCAGGCAAGTGGAGAAGATGCGGCTGGCGCTGCTCATGGCGCTGGTCTCCTAGCCAACACACAATCCGACCCCCCCCCGAAAGGCTACAAAACTGCACGACTACCACAAAGGCTGCTTTCACAAAAGTGAAAGAAGACAGAGACTCAGGAAAATTCCAAGTGATTGTCGTGTGATTGAATACACATGTATGTGTGGCACACATAAGGAATGAATTATGACCAAAATGAATAATATCCAGTCCCTTTAAATATTTTGCCAATCTTAGCGCGGAAGACAAGCGCGGATGAATTACGGAAGTGGGCAGAACATTACCTGATCTAAATTTAGAACAAAAACAAATCAGTCGAATACGAAGTTTTGCAGAACATTTAAGCGGGATATTTGTAGGAATATTTATGTAGGAGTGAAGTTACAAATAAATCTATTGTTACCCGTGCTTAATTTTTAGTGAAAGGAGTTTTACTGAAAAATATGTATAAAAGCTTATTATTTGTCTGCCAAAAATAATTTATTTCAATTAAATGTATGTATTTATGATCTACATAATAACTATTTTTCATATGACATTTTTGTTGTTTCTTACATAATCTTAGACGAATGGCGTCCCTGCGTTTTAAGATTGTAATCCTTGTGACCACCTGTGATTAAGAGCACGCACCGCCACTGGCACATCGTCACTTGAAACAAATCTAACATTAAGGACTAACCGTGACTGTAATATGTGACATGTCAGGGGTCGAGTCTATGATGAAAGAGAAGTATTTAGATTGTTTCAACTCGTAACAAATTATTTCCTAACATTTTGAGTCATTAACTCAATTACAAATTTTCAAAATTTCCCATTTTATTCACAGGGGCGACGCCTAAAAGAAAGAAAAAAATGTGTTTAAACCCCGTGCTCTCACCGCCGCTCTAACACGCGCGAGCTCCCATCGCCGCTTGGAGTAATCCAGCCTGCAGCCTTCCCGACCAGACGACCTTCCCGCCCGGAGAAAGGCCGGAACCACTGGCTAGGTCAACATCGAGGATAACAAAGGGAAGATGTCATCCGACGAACCTGGCATGGTCGCATTTCAGCTCTTCAGGCATATTTATATATATATATATATATATATATATATATATATATATATATATTATATATATATATATATATATATATATATATAATATATAATATATGAAAATCACATGTAATGAGTAATGAAATCACGGCCGGCATTGGTGAGAATGAAAAAATACTTAGGCTTTCAAGGTAACTAGATTTTTCTTAAAATTATTGTGATCTAATTATAATACTTTTTGGGGGGAAATGAGTTCATTTAAATTCTCTCTCTTTTTTGTTTTTAGATAGTAAAACAGAATTATGTTTTCACTGAATAAACTTGTTTTGTCTACAACGTCACACTTCTTCAGTCCATTGCAGTAACAACAGGAATCGAGAGCTAGCTAGTGCAAATTACTTTTAATTAAGGTATGAGTGTAACACTAGTAGTGCGATTTTTTAAACTCTGCGCCTGAAAGCCCTACTTGAGGGTGGCATTACGTCACTGTTTTTTCGCGTCTTTCTCGGTCGTGCGGCTAGATGTCACATGATCGCGACCGTATTGCAGTGCTGATACGGAGAAACGTCCCAAGAAGGCTTTTTCTTCACTACCGTCCCATTGTAACTTGCGTCTCATTTGCCTTGGGACAGTTTCTATTGATACAAATACTTCCTGTTGTTGAAACACCCACGAGTCATTTTAAACGACACTTTGGCGAGGATTCCTGCTGATGTTATGGAAATATTTCTTTACTTTGTTGTTTGATATTGATTTCAGCTCAGCACATTAATCTGCCATCTACTTGAATTGGTCTACCATGCCTTGAATAGTTTAAATGAGGTTTCCATTGTCTTCGCAATACCTCGTAGTGATCTTCTAATGCTAAATTCTAATAGTCTTCGTGTTTCGCATCGTCATTTTCCTTCTCGACGCAATTTTCAATTCGATGTGCTCCTCCGCAAATCTAAACATCAATGATCTGTTTTCACAACTTTGTGCCCAAGAAAACATTTCAACGGGTACGTTTCAAAGCGCGGCTTATGATGTGTACGTTCATTTCTGTGTAACGCTTATTTGTTAGTATCAGACAAAATATTTATTCACCTCATATCGATTTTTTTCTGCTTTCAAATTGCACTAGTTATTCACAGAAAGCTGAAATCACAGTTGACATATTTTATTTCCAGAAATATTCGATAAGAAGAAAGAATTCATGGTATGATTAAAAGGGATAGGTAAAGGTGTCGTTCAATTTGTATATAACAAATGTGTTAATAGGCTATAATCTCTGGTACTTTGAGGATTGTTCACTCCCATCTGATAAATCATTGGAAGGGATTTTTCTCAGTCTCTGAGGCATACTCTTCACGACTGTTTTACCCCAATTTCGGCATTGCTTTAAGGATAAGTTTTGTGGCATACTTGATCAAATTGCGGCAAGAAAACGTAGCCTTTCCTGTATTAGGGCTGAGGTTAAGATATCAACGAACTAGTATTCGTAATTGCGGTTAAACTCAATTTCTTTACTTTATTTGAGGCAAATACAACAAAAAAGTTTTCACATGAGGACAATACTAATAAGTTTTGGCCATTAGCCCATTTAGGACCAAGGCATTGAAATACTATTTTTTAAATAATATTATGTATTTACTCTAATATTACACTACAAAGCTATAAAACCCCATTGATAATTGTTTTGAGCCAATAGCCAATGTACAACAAAACGTTGCGTATAGGCAACTTTGGAACCTTAGGGTACATCAATTCATCTTAACGTCTGAAACAGTATGAATGGAGATGAAATTTGCATTATTTTACTTTTGTAAACTTAAATGCTTTCGCACAATCTGCACCTCCTTCTAGTTTGGTTTTTTTATTCACCGAATCTTGAAAGACATTAGTAATAGTAATAAGTAGATGAACTAATATTTATTGTGGTAAACTATTAAATAGTAATTCTCTCTCTCTCTCTCTCTCTCTCTCTCTCTCTCTCTCTCTTCTCTCTCCTCTCCGCTCTCTCTCTCTCTTCTCTCTCTCTCTCTCTCTCTCTCCTCTCTCTCTCTCCTCTCTCTCTCTCTCTTCCTCCTCTCTTCTCTAGTATTATATTATATATAGTATTATATATATATATATATATATATATGCCCATATTAGTATTAAATATATATAATATGTATACTCTATGAAGACATTGAGACTTTTCATGAAACGTAAAGAAACAGTTTTTCACAAGACATTAAATTTCAATGGAACCATTAATTTGAATTTAAATAATTAACTTGTCCTTCAAAGGTGTTGAAAACTTTACTTATCTGCTTTATATTTAGGTATATTCGAGAGGAAATTAAAATAAATAAACATTTTCTTATCGATCATATTTAGCAGAACGAAGCTGTATTATCGATACTGTAGTATCGAATGCGGTTTTGTCGCTGCAGGGGACGCTAGTTGCTGATCATTGCATTGTCGAAGAACATTTAACACGGAGCTGCGTCACTGTATGGTAAGTATGCTAAGGTAGAATTGAGAAACGCCGAATTGTCAGAAATGTAATAGAATGTTCAGAAAAGCCTAATTCTGTAAATAATGGAGCGAGAAACGTTTCGTTGGCGTATGAAAAAAAGGTAAAGCAAAAGTAATACTACTGAATATAGGAGACGAGAAATCTGTCATTTTATTGAATTATTTTACATCTGAGTTACTTGCGTGGCAGGGTATCGTAATTTCCTTCAGAATCCTAAAATTGTAAATCTATACCAAAAGGTCGGTACGTTCAAAAATACGGTACAGCATATTGAATGCACATTGGTCGAGTGTTGTCCCCACCACCGCTTATTTTAGTTTGGGACCGCCCAATCGAGCGCAGCACTGAGGCGGAGCTTAAGCTAGTCGGTAGATTTAACCCGTAGTTTGTTAGCCCTGGTAGAGACGCTCTCAGGACGCTCTGATTTGGCAATTTACGCGGCAAAAGCGTATTGTTTGTTTACCATTCTAATATATTTAACTGGAGATAAAGTTGCTCGATTTTGCACAAATTATTTCAAGAACTTATCTGGTGAACTTACAAATTTGCGAAATTTATGTTACTTTCTTATGTCATATTTTAATTTTTAAATGTCAGTACAACTATTGGACTTGCCTGCAGAATTCAGACGACTACTAAACGGCTTATGCAAAATCAAACTTAATAACGAAGATTACCTGGCAGCTTGGTATGATGAGAATATTTTGCTCTCGCCCATCAAAGTGGGGGGAGATGTGTGCAAGATTTGGAAAATTAAAGAGTCAGTGCGATGGGTGTTTCATAACCGAATCTCTCTATACTGTGTAGATAAAAGTGGCATTATTTATACCCTTGGCTGTGTTCAAAATGAAGATGATTTGGATGTATTTGATTCATCCGTTGATGAATATAAGACCTTGGGTATGGGGCAGGCTTTTATTCCATGCAGTATTGTCAAGAGCATTGTGTGCATCAGTCCTTTGCGTTGGGGGTTTATATTACTAAAATATTGTTTTGGAAAACTGTATGTTGAGTTATATGGAAGTGTTACAAATGACAATGAAATAAAGAAATCTGCATGTTTCGAGTTATGCACTGCACATGACATATCAACAAAACATTGTGTACTCAAAGTTTTTCAAGCTGACAGTATGACTCCAGATTTTCGCCAAGAATTTTTAAAGATTCTTGATGAATATGCTGCAGAGATTGTTTTTATTGGATTACCAAATGGTTATGTTTATAATGTGGTTGTGTGTTCAAAAGGTAGTGTATTTCTTTCAAAACCTGCATTGATATATTCGAGCACATACTCAGTGGTTGATATAGTGCCTATTTGTGGTACAGAAGAGAACTTAACTTCAAAGATAGGAATTGTTCTTTCCTGTGGCACTGTTGTTTTCGTATGGTATGATATTTTATCTCATTCATTATGTTACAAAGTGTGTAATTTGCCAAGTTATCCTCTGGTTCTCTTGGACACAGGGGATTCTTTTGTTTATGGGGATGGACTGGATCTTTGGCATTGTACATTGAATAGAAGCACTTCATCAATTGATTTCAATTTATTAGCTATTAAAGGAGTGTGTTTTATAACAAAATATATGGGAGATATTAACATCTTAGCAGCTACTGTTCATAAAACATTTTACAGCATAATACTTAAAGATTCTACCTTGGATCCAAACTTTAAAGGAAGATCCACTTGTAGTAGCATTTGTGAAATGACTGAATCACTGTACAGAGAACTACAACAAATTGAAATGTACAAAAAAGAAGTGAATTGTGAAGAAAATTTCATTTCTGGAGTAAGTATGTTTTCAAGACACATGCTGTATGAAAAATGTTTCAGTGATGTAGTTTCTGTGCAGAGTTTGAGTTGTATTAACGTGGAAAATTATTTATTCAATTATTGTCATAGTAATGGTTTTGAAGAAATGTCAACTGGTAACAAATCACTCTCAAACTTTTTCCTGATAAATATTAGTGTTGAAAATAAATCTGAATTGGACTTTTCCCCATTTCTTTGGTCACTTGCTTCTTCAGTTACATCGGGTGGAGTAACAACTCAAATATGTAATAAATTATTACGTTCCTTTAAGATTGGCAGCAGTTTATCATCTTCATTGATTTTATGTATTGAACAGCCATTTTTGGGAGTTTCTGTAAATATTTCGTTAGTAAGACAGCTACTTGATGATAGTAAAAGTTCTGCTACATCACCATGGCTCATTATTCCAATAATAGTGAAAGAATTGGATACTACCCACTTCTTGAGAAATTTTGTAATAGAAAGGGAAAACAAAGATTTATTCAAGGAGAATATTTTATATCTTGCCCAAAAAAATAACTCAAACCTTGGTAAACCATTTTTTGAAAACTCAAATGTTTTTGAACCCTGTTATGTATATGAATTTCATGTTCCTTCAAATGTTAATGAGTTCTGGTTAATGATCCAACAACTTTGTAGCTGTGATCATTTACTTAGAGAAAAGGTACTTGTACATGAAAATTGTCATTCCATTGTAAACAAATTTTCTGCATTTGCTGGTGCTTTGGAAATAGAATTTATTTTATCAGGTCAAAGAATAAAACTTTCCTCACCAAGTTCTTTGCTTCTCTTTGCTGTGAAGGAAGCAATCATTGAGAGATGGAAATTTCATTCTGATTCTTCACAAGCCATTCCTTTACTTGAAAGTGTTGTTGCTAGAGCTTTATTGTATAAAGAAAAAATGCAAATTGAAAAGATGACTCACAGTAAGATGGAATTTGAAGCTTTTAAAAATGTTTGGAGACATTTTATATCAGAATTCTTAAATGTTTAAAATACCATAATGAATGAGAAGAATGAATAGAATGTACCTAAGAATGTAATGAAATTGTTTACCCTATTATCTAACATGGTACATTTTTTGGCAACTCTTCTGCCATAATCCTATAATTTTCCCATACTCACTTCCCCTTATTTCTGGGGCTTCCAAGTTCATACTATCAAAAGACTAGTAAGCCAGCAGTATATCTTTTGTGAACTATTGATTTTTCTATCTTTTGTTTATTAATATATTAGTATATTTAATTTTGGATACAATAAAATTCTGTATGTAACTTGAACATTTAGTGTTGAGTAGTGAATCATGGATTAATCGCGGCTTAACATGGATGTAGGGAAACACAACAAAAAACCCTGTTGAAGAGGAGGCCCAGATCCAAAAAAAATTTACTGTAAATATCACACTTTTTCAGAATTGTACAAAAACTTACAATGCATGAATCTTGTTATTATAAAATTAATTTCATTTTATTTTTTAGTATTTATGAAATGTATTTGGTTTCAGATAAACATGTGAAAAGTGCCTTAACTACATATCCACATTGGGTTCTCAATTTAATCTGGGGAAAGATATGACATCATTGTAAGATTATTACTGACCCCTTTTTACACTAGCAAATAATAGCAGATCCACTTTTGTATTCATAAAATGTTTGGTATGGTGGAATTAGCAAAGGGTATAAAGTTAATTCTATGCAAATCCTAAGCAAGATTATTAAATCCTTATGTCCAAACATTAATTTGTAATTTATATTTGAATGAAAATAGACTCAAATAGGTCAGCAAAACAATTTGCTAAGAATATTGAAATATTACAAACCTTATTCTGAGCTATCTGTGGGTGAAAATTGACTAGTTGTGGAAAATTCCCTAGCCTAAAGTAACCTCCAAACAGCTGGCCATATAATAAAGGCAATGGAAATTCAAGAGAATTTGTTGTTGCTGAAGATTTGAATAGATGGTAGAAACTAAACTGATGCAGTTTTAGAACTTTTTGGGGAAACAGTAGTAAACGATAATTGAATCAGACTTATTGATATGTGTGAACTATACTTTAAGAATTTTGAATGGATTTTATGAACAAGAAATCCATAAATTTACTGAGCATCAGGGTAGTTAATAGAAAGTCTATCATAGATTATATTTTTGTTTGACAGAAAACAAAAGTAACTAATGATGCTACGACACACTAATGTTGATACTTTCTCGATGTATTATGTTACTGTTATGTAATGTTACAATTTCTGCCTTCCTTACACTTCAAATATCACTTTATCTCGTTTATAAATAAAGCTTGAAAAATATGATTTTTTATTCAAAAGTTTAAATGAAAATAAATTTCTCACAATGAATTCAGTGTATACTTGTACATAACTGACGTCCAGACTAAAAGGAAACAATTCCGGAAATGTTTTTCTCGACTGTTCTACAGTGCAATTTTTTAAATTGTATGTCTCAAGGTCAGTCTTCACGGTAGTGATGCGACATCGATGTTAGGGCACATCAAGGAGTTTGTGCCACCTCGAACTTTAAAGCACTATCGATCTTCTGCTCATGCGCAGTTTCAAGTTTCCCACCATTTTAGTGCACCTGTGCATGCGCAGAAGATCGATATTGTTGACGCGAAGGCTGGCACAAACTCCCTATCGATGTTAAAAATCCATCGATTAAAAGCCATCAATGTTTTTACACTGGTGTAGCCTCTAATATTTATTTCGTATGTATTAAAATTCAATTTGATGTTCACGTTATTGAATTTGCCGAATAAAGATACGAGAAGAAGGGGCAGGCCACGGTCTCCTCCACTAGTATATTTTTTTAAATTGAGAAGGACGTGGGCAGACCCGACGTCCACAGCGTATTTGTTGACCATATCTCAATGTGCGAAATGAATGTGAAGAAAGAGGAAATACAAGGGTATGGAGGTCATCTCGGGCAAAAGAGTTTGGTCGATGAAGGTTTTTTAATCATATTTTCACTTTACAGTATTTTGATGATGTGATTGTTTTTCATTCGGAATCCAAACATCGATGTCGCATCCCTACTTCACGGTCACTTTATGGCACTTCATTTCGCGGCTTTCTCGGTCGTACTGCTAGATATCGCATGATCGCGACTATATCCAGTACTGCCTGATACGGTCGCGACATCGAGCAGCACAACCGAGAAAGACGCAAAATGCAGTGACAATGCCACCGTGAAAATAGGCCTTGAGGCACCCAGTTAAAAAAGTAGCGCTATGTATATTTTTGAGGGTTCTAAATTTGATGTTTGCCACCTCAAACTACGGCCGACTTCACAGAGAAAATTGTCCCGGCTTCACAGAGAACCCTAAAAATGTTGATCTCTGTAGTTTTTCGCATATATCTTCAAAACTACGCGTTGTTACGTAACAATAGTTAATTACAGATTTAAAATAGATAAAAGTTTCCACAAAATGCACACTTTGACTTTACATTTCAAAAAAAATGGTTTAGGCGCTAGACCCTGTTGAAAACTGCTATGTTTTGGGTCTGGCCACGGCCATCCTTTACTACATTATAGGATTTCCTTCACTATAGAATGGCGATGCTCTGACGAAAGCGGAAGAATAGCTCTTTTCAACCATCCTATCTCGCGGCGGCGTTCTAGTTTCTCTTTATCATACTTGATAGCAACTATTGTGAACAAATGCAGTCGACTCCAGTTATGGTGACCCTAAGTCACTGGTCCCGTTTTTTGCAAATAGGCGTATGATTCGGTTATAGAGAGCTCTGAATCTCGGCTATAGTGAACGTAGGAAATACGTTCTGTGAAATACCGAAAGAATCTCGTATGTTATTAGACGAGTAAAAGGGAGAGTGGGACGGTGTTCCAACAGTGAAAGATACATTGAAGAATGTCAAGACTGTATTACGATACTTAGAAACTGTGGACAATACAGAATCAATAATGGAGAGGACACGTTACTCGACAAGATGTAGAGAATTTTTTTATATATAATAAAAAATACAATCTATTTTTTTACAAAATAATAAAGTAAATATGATTTGTAGAATTTGTTCTGACAATGATTGATTCCAGTGAAGGTTATCCCATCGGTACTCTTCATTCTACTTCTTCATACTAGAACAAAAAGCAAGTATTATTTTGGTGTTGCTGCAGAGGATAGTTTAGTAGCTGAGGGTAATGTTCAGGATTGTTTGAAAATCTATATGGATTGTAGGGTGAGGTTCTGGTTAGATCGATGATATCTGCACTATTGTCTAGGATGTGAGGCTAATTGTTGGATGGTTTTCAAGGCTCTGGAGATATTGAGCTGATAAATTCTGTTCTTTCCAAGAAAGTGGGCATTTTAAGTCCTGTGCAGTGCTGCATTTGTGATGAACCATGGTGCTGCGCCGCATCATTCTTAGGGTCTGGTGAAATCTCTGGATGATCGAGAATTACTCTGCTTGCTGTGCCCCAGATTTGGATGCCGTAGTCCATATTGGATTAGATAGGCTTTATAAATCAACAGTTTATTTTGCAGTTATAGTTTGAGTGTATCCTAGTATCAGTATATTTTCTTTTTGAAGTTGAAGGTGCTTTTTTTGGCTAAGATGTGATGCTTCCATGTTAGCCGTTTGTTAGATGTATTCCCAAGTATTTTAACTCTTCCACCTGTTATTGGATTGTTGTTGATGGGACAGTAGGGCATTTGTTTTTGTCTCCAGCGGTAAAGTTATATGCGTACTATTATTTCTGTGATTTTTATTTTCCACTTTTGGCCCAATTTCAATCATTGTGAGATGTCTTGTAAACGTCTATGCGACATTAGGGTCTCATCCACAGCAATAAGCTGTATCATCTGCAAAAGTGGCTGATGGTTGTTTTATCTGATTTGATATATCAGTATGAGAGCTGGTATAGGATAGGCGAGTACACACCTGTGAGTCTTCACGCCTTGATGGATGGAATTCAGATAATTCATTTTGATATTTGATTTGAAGGTGCGTGTGGATAGAAAAGATCTGATAATGTTGAAAAGGGATATGGTAGAAAATTCTTGAGTTTAAATAAGAGTCCATCGTGCCATACTTTGTCAAACGCTTGGGCAATGTCTAGAAAGGCAGCTGATAGTAGAGAAATTACTAGAGAAAATGTAAGAAGCAAACAATTGAAAATAATTTACTTTTTAAGGTCAAATAAAGATATTGAAATTTTTTCTTGGTTCTAATATCTTTGGTTGATTCTCTATATTAATGAAATTAATCATAGTGGAGAAATTCTATTTAATTTTCACATCGGATATAGTAAACCAACAATGTTAGTCCTCAAAAGTTCATTGTAACCGGAATCCCCAGAAGTTCACTATTACTAGATTACGGTGTGAGAAACATTTCTTTGACGCATTTTGACTCAAGATTGTAGTTTTTAATGCCCTAGAACGCTTCATTTATTAGCTATTTAACGATATAAAATAAAAAAAACCTTGAGTGTTGCGGTATTGCGTTTGTCATGAATATTTAGTTTTATTTTTTTTTTCGTAAATTTTTCCGATATTTTAATAGTTATTCTGCTATTCACGGCGGAGATGAATCCAACAAATCAGAGAATCCTTATCTGCCTAGTTATATAAGTTATCGAAGTCGTAGATACATCAAATTTCACTTTAAAATATTGTGTAAGTGAAATAAGAACTTGAATATTGATTTTCATCATATTCTGAAAGGCGTTACCAAATGAATGTTAAAATTTTGAGGAAAAAATAATAATAATATTTTTTAAAATTATAAAATGGCATAATTAATTTTTTGAAATAGTTCAGGCAGATGAGAGTTAAAATTAGTCCTGCCGTTATTCAGTTATAAATGGTGTAACTAACCCGACTTTGTTTTATTTATTTTGATTAAACAGTAAAATTAGCACTACCCATTGGAAATGTTTGAAGAACAAATTCGGAGCCATTTATAAGAAAATGTCGTTTGAGCGTTTCTGAAAACGTGGAATTTTAAGATCATTTTCACTGAAAAC